AGGTCCGGCGCACATGAAGGACACAATGAATTGAGTTTGTTTTTTGACGAGGCGTGCAAAGCGCTGGCATATGATTGGCAATTCGTCAATACCTCTGTAGGACATGTGAGTATGATTACATCGACCGAAACACTTACTTTGCGATGGCATCAGGATCACTTTCATCGTTATCATCATCTTCGTCATCCAGTATGTCACCCTTTCCCTTGCTACCTTTTATCTGCTTGTCGTACCTCTTTCTAACCTCCTTCTTAACCTCGTCCGACTCATCTTCTAAGAGCTCCTTGAAGAACCTTCGACCCAATGCCATGCGGTGACCAGAAGTAGTCACATTGCCCGCTTCTTGTTCGGCCTTGACCAGGGGTTTGATCTGCTCGTCGTAGACCATGCCCATATAGATCTCTTCGACAGACTTTGCACGCGTCTTCAGTCGCAGGGCGGCATCAAAGACAGTCTGTTCCTTCTTCAAGCCGCGATTCTTTTTGGATGAACCCGCCCGCCAACGGAACCAGGTTGCCAGTTGCTACAAGTATTTTACTTTAGTTTACGATACAAAAAAAACACGTAGTCGACGACTTACAACTTTACGTTGCTCTTCAGCTTTAACTTCTTGTTTCGTCTGCTCAACAGTGAGCGACACGTCACCAGGGATGTCGGGGAACAGAATATTGCGCTCTGGCCATGTTTTGAACCAATATTTGTGTATGCCGGGCCAGAAGCAGGAGTAGTCCTTGTCCCCGGTGCTTTGCTGCATGTACTCTGGCATTTGTTCTTGGAGCCATGTATACTGCGCTTTGGTAGTCCACGAAGCTGCTGGCATTGTTGTGCGTGAATATGAAGGATGATGGGGAAATAATTCCCGTATGAAGTAGACGTCCATCCTTATATTATTCGCGAGTCAATACTGAGCAAATAAAAAAAAATAGAGCTATTTTGGTGTCGACTTACCACATTGTCAAATTAGGAGAGGGTGGTATGGATGGAAACGACGGAAACAATGGTACTGGCACCGATTTGTGTTTTAGAATGACTAGTGATCAGGTAATGAGGGATGACGACACAATCTGAGTGTTGCGTACTACATACCGGGAGGTGTTAGCTGTGCCTGCACTAAGATTGATATTGGCTTCATATTGCCTCCAGTGGATCTTGAGATGAAGTTGGTAGACTGGCCATTGTTGCTGAGTGCACCATTAGCCCATTGTTATTGTCCATGCAATCATGTAGACTAACCTATGACGATGATGGGATGTGACTTGAACCAACAATAAGTGTTCGGACAGAGTGTCGTGACAGTAATAAGCCTGAGTATACAATGTGGGATCAATCAACCAAAGACTCACCTAGACATCGAGTAATAAGTATACAATGTGGGATCAAACAACCAAAGACTCACCTAGACATCGAGAAATGAACATTAAGCAGTAGTTGAGTTTTGATGTGCTTATGTGTGTAGCCTACTTTAGAACGTCAAGTTAGCGTGTGGCAGTGTGATCAGTTTGCAGGTGTCACAGACTCTATCATAGCGCTGACTATTCTACATTTGTAAAACTCACTCACACATAGTACACACAGGTGAGACTCTACTGTGCTGGATCTGTTCAACTATTCTACACTCATAAAATGTTTCAAGGCTGCCAATGCTGGCAAATTTCTGTCTATTATTCTTGCTCTCATCCACCGGCCAGGCCTCAAAAAGATTCGAGGATTGGTTACTAATGCTGGTAAGTTTCATTTCAATCCTTTTTGTTGCGACTCATCCACTGGCCAGGCCTCAAAAAGATTCGAGGATTGGTTACTAACGCTGGTAAGTTTCGTTTCAATCCTTTTTGTTGCGACTCATCCACTGGCCAGGCCTCAAAAAGATTCGAGGATTGGTTGCTAACGCTGGCAACTTTCAGTCCACCGGCCGGGCCTCAAAAAGATTCGAGGATTGGTTCCTAATGCTGGTAAGTTTTGATCCTTTTTGTCATAACTCATCCACCGGCCAGGCCTCAAAAAGATTCGAGGATTGGTTGCTAACGCTGGCACCTTTTAATCCACCGGCCGGGCCTCAAAAAGATTCGAGGATTGGTTCCTAATGCTGGTAAGTTTTAATCCTTTTTGTCGCAACTCATCCACCAGCCGGGTCTTCTTATTTGCCCTTGTACTCTACTTGATTAGCACCTGCAACGTTGTAGTTGTCGCATCATGTCTAGATTTGATTGTATAGTACTAATATTTCTACAATACAAGAGTGTGTGTGTTTCGTCTGTATGTGTGAGTTTTGCGTGTAGAATAGTTGAACGTTAGAACGAGCGCCATAAGACTCAACTTGCAATTTACTTGAGTCTAGCTCATAATTTGATCGTTGTATGAGGTAGAACCCCGACATACATGCTCTGAATAATTAGCTACTGCTATACCATTGATTTTGAGTGAGACATGATTGGTGATCATCGGATATCAAGCAATTAGTAGTAAATCTCCCAAAGTCGACGCGGCTACTTTCAACAACTTGTTCTAAACTTGGTTACTACTACATCATGGGCCGACCTCGGCTGTATCACACATCACAAGATAAAATTGAGGCTGCTCGTTCTTACCGCAAGAAATACTATGCAAAGTAAGCACTTGCTTTTCTGTTTTAACTACTGACATGTATCAGGAGACGCAGAAATAGTGCAATCATCAGCAAGAAGAACCGGCAAAAATCTTGCAAACAACACAACTGTCCGACCAACAATGATGTTGATTCCCAAAGCTGTAGCAGGTACAGCGTCCGCACGAGATCATCACAAAGGCACCCATGGTGAGCTGCACGTTACTGATAGCTACTTGAACTTTACATTAAACTATCATTAGGCAGGAAGACCTCACAAGTGCCGAAGCTGCACTTGCAGACATTATTGGTGGATCCTCGCGAAGACTTTTAGATGGGCTGGTGAATGATCTTTGTCAGTCAGGTGACGCGGGAACATGCATGCATTCAATCAATGTATTACTAGGTGGTATGGAAGGCATTCAACAACGTCTCCGGCTACTTCATGGGATCATTTTGCAGGCTATGGGGACAGGAGAGGAGTTGCAGCGAGTAGATTTGATATCCCATCAAGCATCTAGCCTCATCTTAGCACTGGAGGACTTGCTCATGCATGTCATGGTCGACCCTCGCGATGCGCTGGAAGGTCATACACGTGGTGAGCTATTATACCAGACTACTTGTGATATCACTGTCTCGCAGTTATGATAATGATGCGATGTTAGTGATGCATCAATCATGTAATCTTCAATCCTGACACCGGTGATTGCAAGCACCGAAACTCTATCAAACGCTAGCCCCCGTTGGTCTAAGATGCTTCTAATCCATTCTACTTGGACCAAAACTCTATCAAACGCTAGCCCTCGTTGGTCTAAGACGCTTCTACTGGAACCTCACGTTGGCCGCTGCCAATTTGACTCATCAACATTAACACTTGTGTTCCAAGGTGAGTGATTTGCCATATCAATGGAAGCGCTAGGTATCAAGCTAACCCAAAATTTCCTCGCTGCCAGTCCGTCTCTCCATGTGTGATCCCCTTTGGGTCGACATCACTACAACACCCTACATGGCAGAGCCAGAGGAGTCTGTGACTGTGTACGAGGGCAGTGTCGAGTTTGATGAGGCCGTCTATGCTATGGCGGATGAATGCTTTATTTTTTCGTATCTAGGAATATTCTACAACATGCCTGCCAAGCGCGATCTAGAACCACCTTTCTACTGCGTTACCTATGGCCGCTACATTGGAGTTTTTCCGTCATATCTCTGGTGAGATTTCCATCTCATTTCCATTTTTATACTTAAACACCCACCTTAGGGATGATATAAAAACTGAACTCCAAGCCCCAGGCCATCGTGCTCCTACCTACTTCGCTGTTCGGTCGCTTTTTCTCGGGGAACAGAAAGTTCATCGTGCCATCTGGCGTAGGCTCGCAGCCAGTAGATGACACACTGTAAGTTTGATGTTGTATCGTTAGTAGCATTTGCTAACATTGCTCGGTCTATAGTCGGGACCGATTATGGGAGAATGTATTCAGTTAGAAGACAATCGGAGTAAGGAAGAGATATAAGGTTTTTTGTGAGGCTCATGGCGTGCAACCAGATTCAGTTAGACGACCATCGGAGTAAGGAAGAGATATAAGGTTTTTTGTGAGGCTCATGGCGTGCAGCCAGATTCAGTTAGAAGACAATCGGAGTAAGGAAGAGATATAAGGTTTTTTGTGAGGCTCATGGCGTGCAGCCATTCAGTTAGAAGACAATCAGGGTAAGGAAGAGATATAAGGTTTTTGTGAGGCCCATGGCATGTAGCCAGTATCTCAGGTATTCCGCTTTGGCTGAGGAAAAGAGCAATCAAATTTCTGGAGCATCCCTAGATAGAGATGAGTGTTTGGCTTCATCGACGCCCTTCGGCAAGTCACATGACATGTCAGGCTCAGAGAGCTGCATATGATTTCTGTTTGCTCGACACCATCTAAGAATGTCTATGGGTCCTGGTCCGTCTGAGGCAGGGCCACCATATCCAGTTCAGACTATCATATGTACCAAGGCAATGTCCTCTACCTCGAAGAACTCGCCAAAACGGAAGAGGAAACCAAAGCTCAATTTCTATCGCACAGCGCCAGTAGTCCATTATCGCCAGCATACCCAATACCAAGTCAACAATGATGGCTCTGTCAGTTATACGCAGAAGCGTCTTCTACCTCCTAAGAATGCTAAAGCAACCATCCCGGACCATTATATTGATCAAACTCATGCGGAACAAACTCTATGCAACTCAGACACCTTTTTTTCAATTCCAGAGCCACTTGACGATCTCCCACTCGAAGTATCATTAGATGTTCTAGGCCAACAAAGGAGAAAACGAACAGCAGGTGTACGTGCACTACAATGTTTCACATAATTTGACTTCCCCCTCACAATGTTTAATCAGGACCATCCTTTGTTGACGTGGCTGAATCACAGAGCGTTATTCCTTCGAGAAATGATCCGTCTTGAAGGAAGAGTCAGCATGTGGTTGTGCTTAGAGTGTGATGGTCCCAATCCTGAGTACAAATGTCAGGACTGCTTCGGGTCAGAGCTTCATTGCTCAACTTGTATTTTGTCAGTCCATGCGCACCACCCGCTTCACCGATTGCAGGTATGTCTTTGCATTTAATTGTGATAATAGACTTAATCTCAAATACAGAAGTGGAACGGTCAATACTTCGAGCGAATTTCTCTGAAAGCCCTGGGCCTCCGCATTCAGCTTGGTCACATCACTGGCCGGCAATGTGTCAATCCTCACCGTGCTTTTAATGACGATTTTGTCATTATCGACATCTTCGGTATACATGAAGTGTCACTCGACTTCTGCGGTTGTGCAATAGCCGAAAGTCGTATGCAACAGCTACTTCGAATGTCATTATTTCCTTCAACAACCTCAGATCCAAAAACTGCTGCAACATTCCGTGTTCTGGAGCAGTATCACCTGCTCTCGTTTGAGTCAAAAATATCTGCCTATGAATTTTATCATGGACTTCGCCGGATGTCTGACAACACCGGTCTACTTCTCATTAAGGTAGGTTCAAAATTTCAAGTATCCTTATGGTCAGTAAAGCTTCTTTACAGGATCGATACGAGTCGTTTATGCGGATGATTCGTGAATGGCGTCACCTGAAGATGCTCAAACGCTCAGGGCGAGGTCACGATCCGAAGGGTGTAGAAGCGACAGCTCAAGGTGAATGTGCTGTATTGTGCCCAGCTTGTCCACATCCAGGGAAGAACCTTCCAGATAATTGGAAAGATGCACCTCGACGGTGAGTTTTAGATAGCTTGAGTGGTATTATCGCTGATATAGATACTATTAGTTGGCTCTACGGATTGTTCCTTGCTATCTGTCATATCCCGTATTCCGGACCTACATCCGACAATATTCCCACGCCTCATCCGGACCTTCGGACACCCTATTCATGTCTCCAGTCCTCTATCCATCCGGATCCCTGCACCCCTGCACATCCACATCCACATCCACATACATTTACCTCCATACCTCAATCCACGCATCTCATCCGGATGTCCGGTCCGGTCCGGTCCGATCCGATCCGATATACGATAAGCTTCCTAATTCAATTCCTGTGCATATAACGTTAACACAGCCTATTCCTCTATTCGGTATTCCTTGTCCTCGGTATCTCGGTTATACTTACTACCGGTATGCTTACTGATCCGTTAACCTATGCTTCATTTCCGACTCGCGCTTGATAACTTTGCTTATGCTTCATACATAGCCTCGGACGCTTGCTTACTGATCTTTCCGTTATTTCCTTAGTATATAAACTCTTGTATATGTCCTGTAGTTCCTCAGTCTGAATATCATATTAGTCCTCGCACTAGATCTCACTCTAAGTCCTCACATCAGTTCTAGTCTATCGACTTAGTCAATATCCATCTCGGGCCTAGGGAGAAATTCCCTAGGCCAGAGCTCCGCTTATCCACTCATCCGCTTATCCGCTCATCCGATCCTCCGAAGTTTCCGGACGTTCGTCCGAAACTTTCCCGCGGTCCTCCGGACCTATTCTGCTTCGGACTTTGTCCTTGCAGCCTTTCCTCTGTTTGCTTCTACTTAGGACTTGTCATAAGTAGCCATTACACGTATCCGTATCAGGACGAAACCTCATCGTAATTTCCGGAAGTTCCTCCGGAACTTTCCCGCACTCGTCCGGAAAGTCCTTCCGAACTTTCCCACGCTTCGGACGTCCTTCGGACGTCCTTGGACTTTCTTCGGACATCATTCTGAAATTAAGGGCACATACTCGGGTAAGGGGCGCAGCGCACGAGCTGAAGCCAAGCCCCTCGGAATCAGTCCTACCCTTTGTGCACGGTCTTAACACTATCGATGCAAACTTCCGGTTGAAACGCAAGGCTGTCTCGAATGACAGCGTGGACCCAAGCCTGAGTTCTGGGTGGGCCTATTTCGTGGAGGATGAAGCTTATAAGGGCTTCTTGGACAGCAATTCGGACAATACCCAAGAGGTTGTTTTATTTAAATCTTCTTTTCGTGTATTAATGGTGTTCTACAGAAATCAACATGCTCAAGTCACAACGCTGTGAACATGGCAGACACAAAATCTAATCGTGGACTTGCTGCCACAGGTTTAGGTACTGTTGACTGTGCCCGCCACAACATGAAACGGCCCAATGCTGTTGGAGATCTCCAAAAGGGTGAAAGGTAAATCGTGTTTTGCATTCAGACATTGGTGATCTAACGGTCTGTAGATATGTCAACATGGATTATTTATTCTTCTCAACGCTGTGCCACACTGTAATCGACACTCTGAATGTATCTTACGATATTGCGTGCCAGTGGCACAAAAAATTATGGCACCGTATGAGCACATTTCCAGTCTCAATGCACCTCCTGCCCACTTTCAAAACTATCTCTTTTTTCGTCCCAAAGTTCCACCTTCCTGCTCACATCGAGGAGTGTCAAACCTCATTCTCGTTCAATTTCAAGAGTGGGGTCGGTCGGACTGATGGAGAAGCACCCGAGCGTGGCTGGGCCAATATCAACCCCGTCGCTTCAAGTACTAAAGAGATGGGTCCTGGTGCACGGCGAGACACCCTTGACGACTACTTTGGAGACTCAAATTGGAAAAAGGTAGTTAAACTTGGTTCGTACATTTTCATTGAAATCATCCTTTATTGCAACTGGATACCTTAACCTCGACTACTCCGACACTCGATTGTGCAGACGCACCATGCACCTTCTCTCCATCCACCAGTCGCCTCGATAATACATCAACCCCTTACTATGCCGAGGCAGTTTCGGTCTTGAAGAGCGTATTTGGGCTGACCTCCTTTATTATCAGGTCATACTATGCTTCACAAGATGAAGGATGCATTACCGGAGCGGCAGGATCATCACGAAGCCCTTGATGACCTTGAAGAAGGTTTGAGAGGTGAATATAGTGCCGCTCTCGCCCAGTGGAGAGAACAGGTGGAGGCTTGGGAGCGTGACCCTGCAAAGCCAAATCCTTTCGAACGAAGGGCGGAAAGTATGTATGGATCATCATCAGTCACTGTGTGCTGATCTTTCCGTGCATCATAGCTGTCACTATGGCTTCTGTGCGACTGGAACTGGCTAGGGATGACCAGAATGATATTCAAACAGGGACTTGCCTTGCGCTACACGAGGACTGTACTCCTAGTGTATTGATCAGTACCGGCTTAGAACTCGAGGAACAACAGTAAGTCCCCTGAGTGCTGCATATGAGATCTTGGTCTTACTTTTTTCTAGACGGCGAATGAAAGCTGACAGAGCCGGCCTCAGAGTTCACGCAACAGACAATCAAGAAGGGAAGATGCTTCAGCGGAATAACACTCTGCAACGCAGGATCGACACCTGGACTAAATTACAGGAACTATACATGCCGTCGCTCGCTGCACTACGTGTCAGTGAGAGTTCAGTATCTGGTGGCATAGCCACTGCAGTAGCTACACCAGAAACCGTCAAACTCTGGCTACCATCCCAAATCGGCAAGACAGCACCTTGTGACACCCGCCTCCAAACCATCGAATGGAAGCTCCGGTATGCGCAAGCTCACGATGCACTCCGTTCCCTACGTTCAAACTAGTGATGTTCCGGCCCGGCTTGGCCCAAAAGCCGCGGCTTTGGCCTGCAAAAAATCCAGGCCGGGCCAAAGCTGCCAATGACGGCTGGCTTTGGCCCGGCTCTGGCCTGAGCCGCGGCTCGAGTAGGGAATTCATGGTCCTGACAAAGTGAGTATGAGCAGGTTGCTGTTCAACCGGGATTCGACCATATGACATACCTGCACATCTTAGAATGTAGTTTTGTCCTGCATGCGGCAGCCTGAGCGGCACGTCACGACAGCGAGTCATGTTTCTGCTTCCAGCCCCCCATCCAGAGTCGAGTCTACATGCGCGAATATACATCGCCCGTACTGACGAAAACACCACTTGTAGCGAGGAGGACAGTTGCCTTTTTGAAGTATATCAGTGTCGTCTTGAGCTCGCGCAAAATGAACACAGATGTGCAAAAACCGAGCCCATCAGGAAGAACTAGCAGGGCACATCAAAGACTTAGTAACTCAAGTGAAACATGAACAGGAAGCTTGGGAGAGTCTTGAGCGCGAGTTCGACGATGTCAAGAAGATGCATGAGTCTGAGCTCCAACGCGAACACCGTGCACTCGAAGACAAAGAATCCGCACTTTCGGGATATGGAACAACGGTCCAATCAACTAGAGTAATAATTACGATTCGGCGTGACAGGGAATGAAAATGAGGAATGTTTAGATTCGTGGGGTAATGTGAGTTTCAGGTCCGTAAGGTCTAGTGTCCGCGCTGCCGCTGTCCGTGGAGAACATTATAATGTCCAGGCTAGATCACAACGTCCGAAAAGTACTAGGTGTCTGTGAGGGGTCATAATGCACATGAGCATAACTCAAAAAGATACTCACGCCGATGATGGGATCGAGGTACTCGTAATCTGTATCAGCAATACGAAAACCTTTTCTATATATGATCATAATATCAGCATATATGACAATATCTATGGCTCACCAGTCATCTGATGCGTATGATCAGCTAGTTGGTATAGTTAAGAGACATGAAGCACAATGGAAGTGATTGAAAAGCTAAAACAAGACGAGATAGAAGCCAGATTCTTGGGGCGCTGCAAGCCTCAGGCACAGTTCCAAAAGCCGTGGCCCAAGCCGGCGGCTTCGGCTTTTCATAATGTCAGGCCAGGCCAAAGCCGCCACCAGGCCGTGACTTTGGCCCGGCTTGGCTTGGCCTATTCAGGCCCGGCTTGGCCTGGCCCACGGCCTGAAGCCGGGCCGTGCACATCACTAGTTCAAACTTGCGTGCTCAGACTGCAATCCTCAAGTATAAAGATCGCAACCTTCGTGGACAAGGTGCGAATACGAGGGCACGGAATACACTCAAAGCTGTTGAAGCAAGGCTTGAGGCTGCCGCCAGCACGTATGAGCGTGCCCATAAGGCTCTCATGGTTCTTGCACCACTGGTCCACTGCTGAATCAGATTGGGTGGCACTCCTCACTGCGGCCACTAAACCGAGCGGATATCCGCTCGATGACAGATCTATTATGGGGGGAATCAGAGGGGACAAGAAAACTATCTTGGATCTGGAATATGCGAGGAGCTGCACCTGACGAGATGGACAAGGACAATGCTTTGGAAGGCGAGTACTTTTTTTTGTTTTGGAAGCTTCAAGCCTAAGGTTCGCGGTTAATTAGATATGCGAATCGAATGGTGCAAAGCCAGGGCACGGGCGATGCGCTGGGCTGAAGAGGTGGAGCTGCTGAAGGAAGAGATGCGGAGGATCCTACAATTTTTCGAATGGGATGCGCAATGCTGGGACGAGCGAGGGCTAGAAGATGCCTTACACGACGTGGATGATGATGATGAGCGCGAGGGACTGATAGCATATGCCAAACGTCAAGCTTCGTTATGTCGAAGGCTCGCTGAGTCCTTCAGGACTAGTTGGACTGACACCTTGGCACTGGCGGACATATTCAACCACTCACTCGTCACTCAGCAAGACATGGACATTGATTGATTAGTACCCATAGTACATGCATACGTAGCAAGATCCAATATAAATTTGTGCTAGCATTGGCTGTCTCATTCGAACGAGTAGTAGGTGTATGCGAATGTGGGAGGGCCAACGGGAGGCAAGAACGAGCGGGCCAACGGAGGGGCGAGAACAAGCGGGCGAACAGGCGGGCAAGAAGCATTAGCAAAATGGGCAAGCGGAGCACTACTATGCATCATGATGCATCAACTCCCTCCCGTGCTGATGCATCATGATGCATCGGCGGGAGGGCTGATGCATCAGCACGGGAGGGAGCTGATGCATCAGCACGGGAGGGAGCTGATGCATCACAGCGGAAAAGAGCTGATGCATCACAGCGGGAGGGAGCTTGGCGGGAGGGCTGATGCATCAGCACGGGAGGGAGCTGATGCATTAGTGAGGAGAAAGGGTAGTATGATTGCAGCAATGATGCATCACGGGTGCGCTACAGTTACCCTGTTTGATGCATCAGCATGCCACGAACCTGTGAGAATCGACCATCGGGGATTGTTTCAGGGTGCTGATAAGATCTCACGTGCTTTATTTTGCAAGGTGAGTTTGTAGTGTGAATGCACTTATTTTATTCTGCTCAAGTTCCGCACGTGCTAGCTTTGTTGGGGCCTCTTGCCTTGACTTTGTTACTAACTCTCCAGAGCTCGAGGTGCGCCGACCTGTCGCTAGCATCTACGTGTAACCACTGCTCATCATTTTTGTAGATTTCAAGTTCTATGGGAATTTCGGCACTCAGTGGTGCTCTTCAGATTCTATTTGATGTGCAGGTGTTTGTGCTGGGACCACGCCTGATCCTTAGCGTTCGAGAATATCACGCCAAACTCGTAGCTGACTCTGACTCAGAAACGAGCATGAATTCGATTGTCTTCCGGGAGCATGTACATGTACCAACCAACAGTACTGTGTAGGGAAATACTTGCTGAGTGTTCTGCAGGGAGGGAAAAATTGGTCGAGGATTCGTCATGGTATTTATTCAAGTTATGGTGTTTCAAAGCATATTTAAGACGAAGTTCATGTAGACAAGCCCATTTCTTGTTGTGCCACTACTGGAAGTTGATGGACCGCCCGCCCATTATCCGGAACGTCTAGCAACCAATCCAGTCCTTGATGTCCAGACAACTGATTATGTATTTGCGGAGTTCCGCTGTCTGAGCACACAGATGATGAGGCAGTGATCGCGTAGCGTTGTAATGACACTAAATAGTTAATGTCACAACCTATTCTCACACCCCAGGACAGCTCGTAGGGCACAACGTCTTAGTGACAGTTTTCCGCTATTTGTTGCGGAATAGAAATATAGAAAAGGATGAGCTGTAGGTACTAGGAACCACGCATCTCACACCCCATTATTCCCTCTGTACGAACGCAGCATCGGCCTTTGCCCGACAACAAGCTAGCGGAGTCCTTGTTTTCCATCGATACCACGCCAGAACTTACACGTACATACGATAGATTAGGCGGGAGTAAGCTCCGAAAAGACGATTTTTGTCTAAAAAAAGTCAAGGACTCCGGTCGAGTTTTCACTGAGGCACTGCGCGGCGTCCTGACATAGTTGTGCAACGGTTGCAGTCACTACTGATTCAGATGGTGTTGCCGGAAGGTGATACTACATACCTTGTAATACCAGATAGCACGTGTTGGTAGGTGCTGCGCGCGGGTTAGTTCGGCACCCTGGAAAATTCATTGACCACGTTGTTACGCAAGGCGGGTTCGGATTTGCTAGTTGAAGGACAACTTTCACGGCGCTAACAAAATTACGTGCCAAGTATGATACAGCCGGTATTGGCGCTTGGAACGCAAAACGCGATGAACTCACCTATTATGCACATGATAGTGTGCACGTTCAAACGTTCAACGTCGGACGTCCAACTGTTCAATCGGATTCGAATCCAATTGGAGTCCTACATAAACATCTTTGCGAAGCTTTTGAGGTGGCTCTAAAAATAAAATCGTTCGGGTTAGGGCGTTGTCAAGCAAGTACTATGTCACGGCAGCCTATGGTGCCTATTATGACATGGATTACACTTACTCCAGCAAGTGAACGCTGAATGCCATTTCTGCAAAACCAATGGAAGGGAGTTATATCTAGTGTATCTTGTATGGTGTTTGATGATTCCAATCCAAAGCGGGGACGGCAGAGGGTCCTTCAGCTGAGGCTGTAGTTGTAAAAGTCGCGATGACGCTGCTGAAGACGGACCGTGTCGTAACCACTGTTACACGTAAGAGTTTTATCGGTACTGGCACGTATTACACTTACCGCAGGTTCCAGAAGGAGTTGAAAGCAAGAAGCATGATGTGGTGCTTGTTGAAGTCGAATTGCAGGTTGAAATTACATATTATAAGCCCCATCATATGTCCGACCCGGATTGAACCCGAAACCTGAGTACTGAGTGGCAGTGTTGTTGACCAGCAACGAAAACAGGTACTCGACTAAGCACTACTACACATTCTCCATCCCTGCACCAGAATTCTGGCTTGTTTTCTTATCAAACAAGCTGACGCCATATCAGACGCTCAGTCACGGATCCTTATTCTGCTGCGTTGAGCTGGCGCCACAACGCTTGGTACCAGCCGACAACGTTAGCGGTAACGTGTTGGTGGAGGAGGTGAACTTAAGGTACGCTCTGGTATGTTGGGTCAATAAAAGCATTGGACACTACGAAATAGGTCTTTGAAGCGTTTTAGAAGGTTCCCACTGGGGAGGAGTACTTGCGTAAAATTCATCAGGGCCTTTAGGCTTTGCATCGTTCTTTTTTTGCCTACGTGATGTCGAACTCAAACACTAGTATGGGAACTGACCGTCCTCTCCGGAAATCCAACCGTGACCCCCTCGTGTCGTCCAGACGTGACGTCCACAGGCCCACCATTTCTTCAGACGCTAAACACCCTTCCCCTGCTCCTATTCGTGTCTCGCCAGACTGCTTCGACATTCATTCAAGGTCCCAATTGAGTCCTGGTCGTACTTTTCATGCTCACGATCTTCTGCGGAAGCATTCCAGGAAATTTGATCAGGACAAAGGCAAAGAGAAAGAGAAAACGACTCAGCTTTCATACGCATTTCCAACTGTGGATCTTGCTCTTGAGGTCCCCGACTTCTCGTCAGGGGGTGATATCACTCCGAGGATCCCGCGTCATCGGACACGTACAGGTCCATCATCCGCCAAGTCAAAGTGGAAAGAGACCCCCGTTCCATCACTCCGGCTCTCCGTCGAAACCTCCAGTTTTGCGGAATCACCCCCGCAAACACCATTAAATTCATCTTCCATCAGAAACTACTCCCTCAGCCATTTTCCGGTAGTCGTCTCGGCTCCGGTTTCCGGGGTGGAGGCCATGGATGCGCTGGTTGATGGGATGAATGGCTTCACAATGGAAGATTTCTTCGGGAAAAGCTCCTCTAGTCGCTCAAGGTTTGGTAATAATGCAAGACATCATCCTCTATACCAACCACCTCTACCCACTCCTCCACCCGGTGTAGTTCTTGGCAAAGGGAAAAGTCGACGACAAGATAAAATAGTACCTTCAGATGAAGATGAAGATGAACCAAGACCATCGCCTCCCACTCGTCGTACTCGCCGCGCTCGTCTGCGACCTGGCTCTGCACAAAAAGGTTCCTCGTCCACAATCACAGTTGACTCGGGGTTGTATGAGGTTACCTCTTCGGTACTTGATGACTCTGTTGATGACCTTCCAGTCGCTCTTGTGCAGCCACCAGAGCGCCCAAGAACTGTTGTTCCTTCTATTTCGGAAATCATTCGGAACCACGCTCCCGCTTCTGCTCAGAACCGCTCTAGAGAACCCCAAAAACACGTGCCCAGTGATATTCACACCGATGGTCATACCAATGGTGTTGAGAACGAGGAATCCGAGGCTGAGTTGCTCACGCCTGATACAGAAGCTGAACCGTTGGGCAGGTCCTCCCTTGATAGCATTGCAGATGAAGTCCGCCGCACGTACCATAACCAGAAGAAATCACATATTGTACCCCCACTTGCATCACCTCGTGCTCCCCCACTCACCGCTATGCCTTCGAACATGTCGGATAGCTCAAGTGTGCGGCTTCACAGGGCACCCTCAGACGTTTATTCACATTCATCGACTGCATCAGCACGGAATTCGCAGTACTCATTGGACCTCATTCCCATTTCCATTTCTCCTACATCCGTGCCCCAAGCCATAGCAGAATATCTTCGCTCCGCTAGATTGACAACTTTGCTGAAACTTACGCGATCCCCTCATGCATCACTTGATCACCCTCTGACCGTCAGCCTTGCGGATATGGGTGATCCAAATGGCTTTCCCCTCGTCGTATTTCTTGGTCTAGGCTGTGTCAGACACATCATGGGTTTGTACGATGAAATGGCAGACTGCCTTGGCCTTCGTCTGATTGCTATAGATAGGTAAGCTTCTGTTTGTTGACTAACAATGGCTTCACTGACATTCGTACAGATGGGGTCTAGGCCGTACCGAGATTCCGCATTCCAAATCTGCAAGAGGCATCATGGAATGGGCGGCAGCTGTCGAGGAGGTTCTCGACCAGCTAAAAATAAATGAATGCAGCATCATTGCCCATTCAGCCGGCGCACCTTACGCCTTGGCGTTTGCTAACCGTGTTCCTAATCGTATTCGGGGTGACCTTTGTCTACTAGCGCCATGGATAGGTGGCTCCGAAAGCGGTGAGTGCTGGAGGGACTTGCGATTGTGCTTCTTTCCCTCATCTGATGTACAGGAGGATACCGGTGGCTAAAGTATGTCCCCAATGGCATTCTGAAGACCGCGCAGGCAGCAGAGTGGAAGATCCAGGCATGGATGATAGGAAAGCCGCCAACCGTCGCTTACCGGGGAATCGGTTACACCGCACCGCTGTCCCCCAGATTTCAGAATGGAAAGTCAACGTCTGGTAATGGAGTCGAGCCTTCCTCGCAACCTCAGAGTCCCGGCAGAAACACTATTTACCTATCAGATATCACCAAGAGACGGATGAGCTTAGGTTCTGTTCTGTCCAGTGATTATGACGATCTACGGGATTTTGATGGTCGTTTTGGGAGCCAAAGCACGCTTGGCGCACGCTCAATCACACAACAGAACAGAGGAAAACCTTCTCGAGGAATTTTAGGTAGACTTAAAGCGTCCAAAGCAATTTCTCAGCCTCCTTCACCTGCTATTGAGTCTCCTCCCATCTCAACCGTCGGGAAAACGCTCAAGACTTTGAGATCTATGGGTTCCCTCACGGGCAAATCATCTTTCCCCCCCAACGCACACAAGAAGACTGATGTCCCAAGTCCGCAGCTCCCTCAACCATTGTCGTTGGACACGGGCTTAGGTCTTGGTGAAATTGACTGGGACGCCACGAAGGTTCGATCCTCACCTAGTCCTATACCAAACCTTCCACCCCTTGTCAAACCAACCAAACCCGTCGAATTCAAGTTGCCTTTCGATAAACCCCCACTTCAGCTTCTTCCTCGACAAACCGGCCAGCGCTCTATATCCTTCAGTGCGTCCACCACAAGTGTATCGAGACTAAGCCCGCCGAGCGTTCCATCATCCCCCCCTGCGAGCACTTTATCCTCTCCACATCTGAGTGTTCAAACTACATCAACTGCGTATCAAACTGCTCTCGCCAATGCTCTCATTGCGGCGTCTCACGCGGAAGCATCGAAAGGGATGCACAGCGACCTTCTACAGATCCTCAATCACGACAATCGTCCTTGGGGCTTCTCGTATAGCGACTTCCCTCACAAGGTCCAGGTCTGGTATGGAGATAAGGACGAGAAGATTGCTGAAAATGCCGTGCGGTGGATGGAAAAGGCGATGGGCGAAGATCGTTGTCACGTCAAAGTGGTGAAAGGTGCTGACCATGCTCTCATGTATAAGAGTTCGGTTGTTGTGGAGGTTTTAGAGCGAGTCAGAGAGTTCTGGTGATGTCGTTTTTCGCCTTGCGTCTTAGTTTGCTTTTACTTGCTTTGAAGGGACAACTTTTCACGCAACGTTTTCTTCCTTCCGCTTACATATACACTAATACTCGCTTTCATAACCCAATGATTCCCCTTGCGATATGCATTCGTTTTCTGTACATACCCACGTTCACTCATCGGAAGGATCTCACTGTACTTTGCCTTCCTCGCACTTGATACCTTCGGTATAATTTGTTGTTTAAACGTCATTATTAATATGTGTTGTAGACGCCGACTGTAACAAACTCCATAATTATTCATTGTGAAATCCCTTCCCTCGTGTTACAACAATCTAGGGGCCTCATTCCTGTCTTGAAGCTGCCATCAGGAAGTACACCATCATTATGATGGGACAAAAGTGACAGTGGACTTCATGCCGTAGGAGGTCTCGAATTAAGTGTAAAAGACCTAAATCGCTCCATTGATCCTGTGGTTGAGACAGAAAACCTGGAAGACAAGTTCAGTTGCAAGGGTCGAAGCTCTTCTTTAAGGGGTTGCATCTGTGCAATACGGCGGTATCGGTATCTGGTGCGAAAGAAGAGAATGACTCCAAGGATCAACGAAAGTGCACCAAGGAATGAAAGTACTGTGATGATGGCAATCAAAGACCCTGCAAGCCGTGGCGATGACACAGCGTCGCTTTGTGGTGAAGGCGACGGTGTCGGTGACGACGATGCCTGTTGCGAACTTGAATGTGACTGCGCGTTAGGCGCTGAGGAGGTGGACGTGGTTGTAGGGGATGGCGTAACGGGTGTGGAAGACACAAATGTGGAAAGAGGTGTCGATGATGTGGCGGTAGCCGGGCTAGCAGCACTTTGTGAGGTTACTGTCACTGCTGGCACAACAGGAGATGGAGAGTGAGTGACAACAGGAGGTAAAAGGGAAGTGACAAGGGGAGGGATAGGGGCAAGGGGACGAACAGGGACAGCAGGAGGCAGGAGGGAAGTGGGAATGGGAGAAATAGGAGGTAGGAGAGGAGTAACTATGGGAGGGGGAAAGGTAATTATAGGTGTTTCCGATGATGCAGGGGGTAACATTGGAGGCAATCCCTCGATTGTGGGCAAAATCGCAGGAGGACTAGTTAGCACCGCTGCCACTGATGGCGGAACAGCAAGAGGTAAAGATGGAGCAGTAGGTGGCGGTATGCCTAATGATGCAGGGGACGTTACAGAAGAAGGCCCTCCGGGTATAGGTAAGGATGAAGCACAACCACTGACTACTGTGGTCACCGATGGTGGGACATCAGGGGCCCAAAATAGAGCAGTAGCTGAAGATGTTTCTTGTGATGCAGAAGGCGTCGATGGAGACGACCCTTCGAGCACAGGAGAGGATCGGGGACATTCAGTTTCCACCGTTGTCACTGATGTCGGAACAGTAGGGGGGAAAGATGGGGTAGTAAGCGTAAATGATGTAGGGGGCGTGACTGGAAACGTCCCCGCGGGATTAGGTGATGATGTAAAGCTATCAGTTCCAGCAGAAGACCCCCTAGTCTCCAACTGAGACAAGCTTGAGGAAGACGCAGAAGACGTGCTCGAATCCGATGTCGATGGCGATGAACTGGATGGAGCTGCCGTAGCTCCAGTGCTCGTGAATGGTACCGCCGACGTTGTTGCTGTGGAAACCATCACGAGGTTAGGAGAAAATACAGACGGGATAATATGAACTTACCGTCAGAGGCTGAGACGATATCTCCGTCAAGTCCTGAGTCTCTAGCTATACGGTGTAAGCCGTAAGATTGGTTGAAAACTGCAGAAAGAGTAAAATCGTCTTTATTTGTTGATTTTTGGAAGAATGCATACCATAATTTTGGCCAACGACGGTAGCTGGGCTAAGTACAGTCGCCTCGGAAGATATGCTGATTTCCTGTTCTTGTGGGCCAACTGAAATGCGCACGGGAGCAGCTTGAACATCGTGAAAGGACCAGCAAAGAAGATTAAACAAAGAAATGAAGTATAAAGTATGGAGTACGAAATTAGAGTTGAAAAAGCGAGTGAAGGTGCGCAGCATCTCCCCGGCGCCGAGCTCCAGAGCTCAAGAACAAAGAAATAAAAAGAAGAAGCAGACAGGGTTTCCTCACAATCGATGGAGAGAATCAAGAGATTCAACCTCGTTATAGCATGGCAAATATCCACTTATTTGTGGACATGATGCACAGCTTCCCTGAGAGACACAGAGTTGAACGTTGTTGAATCATTTGAGGCCACAGCCTAGAGAACATAGCAAAAACGCGGAGTGAAACGTTGCGAGATACTATCCTCCAGAATTAAGTATAGGTCATGATCATGATCATGAATTGATGTGTCTTGCAATGGTTCGTCCGTAGAACTTCTTGGACAAGTTACATGTAGGACATGGTGACCTTGGACCCTGCCATCGTGAACTAGAGATAGGCGCTTGCTGAGGTGATGGCACCGGCGCATCATGGCATGCCTGTGTTCGAGGCCCAGCCCAAAAATAATGTGCACATACCTGTTTTTTGCTGCACAGCGGCTAATAATGAAAATGCTAAGGAGACAGTGACATCAGCTTCGGCCAGTTAGTAAAACCGACCTACGCCATAGCATATAGCAACGCAAGTAAAAATTCATTATGAGCGAGGACGGAATATGCCAGGAATTCACATTAGCCTTTGTTTTAGGAAAGGCGGCTTGGCGAGTTGCCGCATCAGCCAGCCGATTCAAGTTGAGAACCAAATCCCAAGGTGCGAAGGCGCTCGCTATAACAGTTTAGCCTCATCCCGTCCGACTCTTCACCGCAAGTCTGAGTCCTTCAGACGCCTCAGAGTCCGGCCATGTCTGAAAAGAAAGCCCCAGCAAAAAGGAGAAGCAGGGCTACAATTAAAGCCGAAGACGACACCCACACCCCAAATTTAACAGGTCCACAACCAACTACGAGTACTTCTCGAAAACGAAAAGCCGCTAATCCTGCAGCGAGAGACCTGTTAGATGTACACGCCAGCAGAGAAGAACGACGGTCTGAACGTATGTCAAGATGCTATCTTGCCCCAGTCCGCTGCTCATACCCACATTCCAGTTGTAACAGTACCTTCTCATATTCTGGAGCGTCAGCGCCATCGTCGTCCACACTCCCCGTCAGATCCCCCATATCGCCGCATGCCCACTGATATACGCTCAGCGCGAAGACCCAGCGTACCGAACATCACCCCACGACCACCACCGCGATCACGGAGATCGAGTATGCCAGGCCCTGAACGCAACATGCTGCAGCGTAAGCTACCCTTCAGGTTCCTATGTGATATGGCTCATTATTCCGTTTGTTGAACTCCAGATGCCTGGCATACTGTCATGACCACCGATCCTCTCGTTGACTCAGATGAGGAATGTCACGATAGTCACGTTCGAACAGACTATAGTGCGTTAATGTCATTTTCTCCTCCATAATATTCCCTAAGATGAGTCGCAGTCAAGAGAATGCAGGTCATCTCTCGCCTAAGAGGCAGGCCACCAACTCCCGAAGGAGAAGAGCCTGCATATGGAACTCCAATGACCGTACGGTCATCACACTTCGAGGCCCATGCCGGGCGTGTACCCTCTGTATTCTGAAAACTTAGAATTGATAGACTGCATCATGTACTATATTGTCTACCTCCTTGTTCTTTTAGTTTGTTGTATGTACTGGCTGTATAGACTACATCTGGACATCGGAACATCCGGCAGTTTGAGCAATTGATTTGTAGCCTACATTCAATATGCACAGAATTCCAAAGTGTGTAATGTATAGTATGCAAGGGAGGGGACGTGAGAGGTGCACCGAACGAAGACAAAGAAAAAGGCGCGGAAAAAAACACGCAAAAAAAGAACGCGAAAAAAGTAGAATAAATAAACTAAAAATGTAAGCTAAAACATATTCTGGTGAACCATCTAGTCCCGAAATAAAACACATACTGCTTCGTAACAGTATTACAGCTTCGCAGACCGAGGGAATGGGGGTTTGCCTCACTATTCTGCGAGCCACTTTTCGCACTTTTTGGCGTACTTGTCGAGCAGCTGCGCCAGGTCACGAATGACGAATGTCAGCACGACGCTCGCAAAGAACTCGGAAGCGCGTTTTAGCTTGACTTCTGCAGCAGCCCGGAGATCTATAGGGAACGCTGCGTATGTAGCTGCGACTGGCTGCGATAACAATGCCTTTGTATGTTCATCGATAAGCTGGGCTATGGTAAACAGCTTATTTAATCCAGACACATAAGCGGCAGGCGAATCGAGGCTATTTCACACGTTAATACAAGTCAAGGACGCAATGAAAGCGAGACACGAACTTTTTTCCGTTGGTAAACTTGTCAATCTGTCGAGTGAGTTTGCCTCCCCATGATGTTACCTGAAGAAACAAGTAGTGTCAATCCATGAGGACGAATGAACCATCTTGAAACTTACCCCCCCACTTTTCTTAACAACAAAACCTTCGCCTACACTAAGTTTCTTGCCAAAGTTTGCGACGACACTATCGCATATCGAGGAAAACTCCTCTAATTTGCCTACCCATGTCTCAGCTTCCTTGCGAGTTACACTGCCGATACCCAAAGCTAGTCCACTGCCGACGCTTGCGCCAAAGGATTCCACGCTGCATTGCTGCATCTCCTCCAGGGCTGAGCAGAGTACTTCTACAACGCGGACTTTCTCCGGTATGTTTGTGAGCTTAGCCCCTCCTTGTGACCAAACCTCTTGCGGCACATGCAATCGTCTGGTGATGTAACCACCAGACTTTGAGGTCATGGTATTCGCCAGGAGTGCCATCATATGATACGGCTTCCTTTGACCGTCAGCGGGTGGAGCGGGTGGAAGCGGAGAAGTGGGTGTAGTCGGCAAATTGGATATCAGGGCTGGTGGAGGTACCAACGCTAATGCCAGAGACGGGGATAACAATTCTGTCTGCAGAGTCAATTGCGGCAGTTGTGGTATATTAATGCTGATGTTCTGCTGCAACTTGGAAGGATTGGACATTTTACGGGGTATTAGTCCGTTGAACCCTGCTGTGTGTGGTAATGGGGGTCGCTGAACATCGAACGGGGAGATACGGCCATTAGCTACAGAAGGCCGTCGTCCTGGCTGTGACGACGCGCGATGTCGTCCAACTACGTGAGGTACTGTGTTAGGGGGTACCGGTGATCCGGCAGGCTTCGGAGCGGGAAGAGAGAATATCGACGGTGAATGTGATTCAGTAGGCGAAGGGCTGTCGGTCGAAGGGGGAGCAGACATCTTGGTGCGCCTCTGATGAATCGTACCCATCGCCAGGGAGGTGCTGATCAATTGTTGACCGCTGATCACGCTCATCGACTCTCCGCGGACTCGTGGAACAATAACTTGTTGTGCTGGCGATTCCGGTGACCGTATAGAGTATGATGTGGCTGTGGGTGAAGGAAGTGGGGGTAGTGGGTGAGAGTCCCGGATTGCAGTGCGTGGCGTGTCAGGCCGTCGGGGTAAGGACGCTGTAAGATCTTGGTCGTATAGGCTCTCTAGAGTGGGAGGGCCCACAATCCTGACGCCCTCTTCAGTGACGGCAGTCAGTCTAGTTCCTGACCCTGTTCGTCTGTGTCCAATTGAATTTCCGCGTGGGCAGGTAGCTTCTAGGAACCTGCCGGTCTGTGAAGGCATCGTTGCGGACATGGCGGGTACGGCAGAGTCTGGGGGTGGTGGTAGAGGAGACAAAGTTGGAGGTGGGGCGGCGGGAGGAAAAATAGAAGCTGCTCGAGGTCGGCCAGTGACTGATGGGGTATATTGGGTGCGGTTCGCCGGAAGGGTTGCGTTTCGGTTAAGAGAATTATTGGAATCTTGTGGACCAGATGATGAAAGAGGAGACAGGGGTGCAGCATAAGGATGTTGAGGTGATATGCCATTGGTTCTTTGACCGAATTCAGTGGACAAATAAGTAGCATTGAGAAGGGCAGCTCCAATGCCTTCATGGCCATCATTGTCGTCATCATGGTTATGGTTAAGTACTCCGACGTGCTGAGGCTCGTCTTGGGTGTGTTCCGTTGGATACGAAGAGACTTTATGAGAGTCAGAAGTGGGTGAGATGGACGATGGTGATCCAGGTTGTGTGGACTCTGTAGATGTGGAAGGGGCGTATACAGAGGATGGGGAGTGGGGTATGGGAGGTATACTGTATATCAGGCTGAGAATGTTCATACGGTCAGCATAAGTGTCGTGCTGAAAGGGATAAAATGAAATCAGGATGAATTCGGGACTGGAATGAGTAAATTTCTTACTATTGATTTAAGACGTCTGACTTCTTCTTCTTGTGCGACCACACTTCTCCGCCTGCCATTTCGTCTTGGACGCTCTGTGCTGTCTTCGCCTCTTCTTACTCGCTCCATAACTTCACTAAGCAAAGCGACACTTCGACCGTATGCCATGACCGCAGCATGGGGGTCATCGTTGGTAGAATCTAACTGAACTGCTTCACGGGCGAGTTCCAAGGCTCTTGTGAGGGCGCGTCTTGAAGATGGGCGAGATTGGGAGGGTGTGCGAGACTGAGCCGGTGATAACAAGAGACGGTCAGGCACGATATCCTGGTGGTGTGAAGATGACGTTGGCTGAAGGATAGATCTATGTGAGGGGTCGGAAAAAAGGCTGGGGTCATGTGCGACGGTGCTGGAAGAAGGCTGGGGACTGTTGGACGCGGAAGTAGAGGCTTGCCTTGTTTGAAACGCGGCTATTGCAGCGAGATTTGCAGAGGCTGAAGGTCTACCATTATTGGCGTGGCTAGGACCACTACCACTAGTGCTTGACCTGTGTCTTGTAGTATATGGAAGTTCTTCGGAAGAAGGTTCAACATCATCAGGATGGTGGATTGGAGCTGATGGTAGACTTGGAATTGGTTGACTCGGTGGTGGGCCTGCGGGAGGAAAGTTGGCGGCGGAAGAACGACGACGAGATGTAAGGGTGAAGGATGAAGGAGGAGGTACAGGTGAAGAGGGAGGAGACGCGTGATCTTGGGATGGGCGTGGACGATGAATTATAGAGAGTGGGCGAGTATTAAACTCGGGTTCCATGACGGGGAGCTCGATGAGCAAAGTTCCCTCCTTCAATGTTGATATAAACCTGAAACAGTATTTCAGTAGCAAGATATCTCCCTATGGTCTAGCTA